ACATCGATATATAAAAATATAAGTAAAAACTCGAAGAGAGTCATTAGTGAATATCCCTTTTATACGAGGATCTCAATGGGGTTAACTGTGAGCCGTGAAAAGTGTGAAACGGCTGAAAAACTAGCCGTGAGTCGTGAAAATGAGAAGAAAAATTAGCCGTGAGGCGTGAAAAAGCCAAATTTGTAGTCGTGAGTCCCCATACCCTCTAGTAAAGTTATAAAAGGTCTTTCCTTACTTAGATACTATTTKGGGGATTTTTCTTGTACATTTTAAAACTCCCGCTCAWTTAGTGCATCAAAGACCTTAATTGAGCGGGAGCCGATCGTCRCGCTAAGTGTGACAAGAAAGACTTGTATGAAACGATCAYAGGATACGAAATCAGCCATACTGRATAGCGGACGATTTAGTGMGATGCAAAGGAGTATTGCCTCACCATCATGAAGAGYCTCTAATTCTCTAGCGTCAGCCTCGTTTGGTTCTCTTCCATGATTTTCCTCGGAATTGACGCCAATACCGGGGGCCGGGCTAATACCGGAGACCGGGCTGTCCGTGTACCCCGCTGGAATTTGTGGGGACGCTTCATCGCCAGGCTCATACTCATCGTACTCTAAATAGAGATGCGCAATATTGATGGAATATCAATAAACTATTATTAAAATATTGATAATATTAGAAGAAACGTACCACTACGTAAAAGTTTACGATGATGACGTCTTTGATGATGGTATCTCCGCGCATGCGCGTCGTAACTATCCTCGACCCATTCCCTTTGCATATGATGGTCGGGTGCATAGTTGTCATCAAATATATTCATTTCATTGCCTGCGTATAATCGATTTAATTAGTCAATTTACTGTAGTATATTTTTTAATTAGCATTATTTTGTAGTAAATAGTGTRAAGTATTGCACACTTTTAGTGTTTTTACTCTAGCATAATGACTACTTACTATATTATTATTATTACTACTACTYAAATAGTGTAAAGTATTGCACACTTTTAGTGTTTGTACTACTTACTGATATCCTTTAGATCGTCAAATATACCAGGCGATTTTCCATAAGTATATTCAAAACTACGGTACGCGTCGTAAGGTCGGTAATGTTGATGATGATGTCTTGGTCGATGATGACGCGGATAAGCGTAATCTTCATCAAGGGTATACTCGTGGTATGCTTCAGGTATCGTGTGTCTAGAACGACCGGTCGTTGTCTGAGGTTCTGTTTGGACGTATTGCGGAGCTAGCGGTGTGTTCTGGTATGGTATGGTTGATATGGCAGGAATTGTGTTGAACTGTTCAATRGGTTGTTGTACTGGGGCCAGGAATAAAGGCTGTTGTATTGGTAATGCAGGCTGGATAACTGGAGATTGTTGAAGAGGAAGTTGTTGATCTACAAATTCAAAATAAAATCGAATCAAAATGATTAAACAACACGACACACAAGGTCACGATAAGAACCATACCTCCCTGACCTAGAAATGGAGTCAAAATATTCTGTCTTCTCAACAGACTTTCATCCGGGAGGAGAGAATTTCCAGTTTGACCGGTTACCATTCCTCCTAAAACCTGTTGTTGATCCGGTAAATCCTGAGGAAGGGGAAAACCTGGTACTATCTGTTGTTGTAGTGGATCCATGGTTGCTTGGTTACCGRTATTCAAAGGTAACATTACTTGACGTTTATCCCTTTTCGAAGTGATTCTCTGTATGTGAATTCTCAGTGCTTTTGGCCAGCGGTTTGAAGAACGAACCTCGCGTTTTGCTGTGAAAAAAAATCTCACGACTAGTAATTCATCATCAACAAAGCTAGCCGTAGATGCCCTGACGCTCATGGGAAGGAAACTCAATCTCGGGGCGATTGAGGGCAATATTTCGTTTTCAGCGTTTCACGGTTCCCCGGGTATCAGGGTCTGAATCCGACTAGCGACAAATGGACAAAATAACTACTGACTAGCGACAAATTTGAACAAAATTTGCTGACTACCGACATTAACAAATTTACTGACTGGAGACATTTTCCAATATTCAAAGATGTTAGCTCCGTGAATACCAGCTTTTTTCATTTTTCAAGCAACTACATTCGAAATTTTTCGCGGAAAAAATAAATTTTGCTTCGGATTGGCTTCTTGAAGTTGTGATGAGCCACTCTAAAACTTTGAGGGGCATCCAATTGACAACCAAGACTCAAGGATTCAATTGTTGGCATTTTAGAAAGAATTCTGTTGGTATAAAGCACCGTTTTAGATGCATTTAAACTTAATGTTTATCAGCTTTTTTTAAATAACCGACTACCGACAAATGCCTATAATTCTAACTGACTAGCGACAAATGCTTGAAATTTTAACTGACTACCGACATTGAGACCCCCCCATTAAGACCCTGGGGTATAGCTAACATTGCACAAAGGGACATGCATAGCAAAGCACCATGGTTAAGATTTATCTATATACCCTGCACCACGCCCCTGTTTGTAATGGCTCTGTGATCTCATGGCAGCTATTGTAGAAATAATTGTTTCAGTTTCCCAGCCAAATTGTGGAGCAAACTTCAATTTCTTTCTGACTTCATTCATGACAGAATACATAGGGTGATACTAGGACTGCACGCGAGGGAAGTGATCAAACCACCCCCCATTTGAAAACTAACCCKAATTAGCCCTTGTAATCATAAGGTGAGGAAGTTTAGAATTAGAACAAGCAGTGTCAGGAAAGATTTGTCAGAAAGTTTTTATGTCAAGTAAGCAATACATAGTACTTTTTAGTTTTAATTTTTTAGTTTTTCATTAGTTTATTAGTTTGATTTCATTTTTTTGTTGTTTTTTTTTTACAAATATGAATTAAAGGTGTTAAAATTACAGGTTAGATTTAATCTATTAAACATCCTAAGGAATTATTTTACAATCATTGCTATTAGAAGTTACTTTGAGTTTTTGACGCACCAAATGTAAGTAGCAGCTATCCCAGCTATGAGTTTTACAGTGAAAACTCAGACAATGAGCCATGTGGGAAGGTTTCATAGATTTTCGTAAACGCATGCGCATAATTTGCGGTTAAATCGTTATAGTGATAAAGTAGGGGAAATTCCTGTTAATAAATCCTCATTTCTGTTACGAAAATTTCGTGATTTACTTTTGCCTTTCGTTCGGGATTCTTTCTTTGTTTCTAAGACTTTACGTTTAACGTGGTCAATGTTATTTGTCTTAGTTGGACATTTTGAATGGTGAAACTTTTTAGTATTTTTATAGGGTGTGTTTTTAGGCATAGTAGTGTATCCCCCACAYTGGTGCGTCGTTTTTGTTGTGGTTATCGTTCTCTGCAACGGACCTTTAAGAGATTTCTTTGCTTTTTTAGTGAACTTGATGGGGCTGGTTTGTGTTGATACAGCTCGTTTGATTGGTGGCTTTATCTTACCYGCTTGTTTTGTCTCTCTCTTCTTCTCTTTGTTAATTATTTTCTTTACAGTATTTTTCAGTTTCTGCTTCTTGTCGTAAGTCTTTGGTCGGAATGAATGTTTAGAGAGTTTGAAGTTCTTCAGTTGGAACTTAAACTTGAAAGAAACTTTATCTCTGTCTCGGCTTTCTTCCATATTACTTGTACTCAATGTGTTACCATCAGTGTGTTTGCTATCAAGCAACAATTGACGAAAATGTGAAGACTTTGTGCTGTTGTGTTTATCGCCGCCATTAGGTTTGTGTTTCACCTTTATCCTTCCAAGTAAATCGGTATCAAAAGAAGTCTTTGTGGTCTTGCTATTCTGTCCTTCGTGCAGTGGTAAAGCCTTATGAGGTGTATGTTTAATATGAGCAAAAATTGGCAATGGTTTGTTATTATTCGTAGCGTTTTTGCGCTTTGGTTGAGGAGGAAATCTGTGAATCCTGCTTCCTGCCATTTGATGCTCAATTACYAAYACTTCGTGAACAGCTTGTCTTGGGGCATTGGTGCCTTGAATTCCTTTGAACAAAGAAATAGTGAATTGTTGCGTGTGTCAGAACGTGTATGMAATCTTGAAATGCCGGCAAAATATGTGATAACTCGAAAAATCTAAACAATCACACCCAACAGTTACTGACAATAGGGACTTAAAGAGACTAGACCGTCCATTTTCCACCCATATATGTTACCCGCTCCCCCCTCACCGGAATTCATGACTATTCAAATTCATGACTATTCCTCACCATGACGCTTAGACATGGGTGACGCCCTATCCTTCTCGTTAATGGCGTTGGATGGAAGTATAGCTGGAGCTGGTTCGATCTGTGGCGCTGGTTGTATCGCTCCTGCAGGCTCAACATCCCCTGTGTTGTCTATAGCTTGAGAAGGGAGAATTTCTGGTGCTGGATTAATGTACGGAGCGGGAAGTATTCTAGGGGCAGGCTCAAGATACGATTCTTGGTCGCTAAAATCTGTAGCTAATTGACGACGTTCCTTAGCTGTAGAGTTAATTAACGATTGAACATTTTTAGACAATAAATCAATAAGATAACAACTCAAGTCCCATATGACCGTCTAGAGGCCAGGAGACGCGTCCTGTGTTTAATTCCCGCGGTATGGAAATGAAGACTTTTATTCATTACATAAAGTTTTTTGTGTCTGCTGAAATGGATCAACCATTTTTACCAGCTTTACTAGCAAGCAATTCCCATTTTAAATTAATATGCTAAAATACGAACCTGTAGACGCAGCATCGCTGTAGAAGGAAGCCCGGGTGAGCAGAATTGGAATTAGCGTCAAGAGATAAATCCAGTTCATTTTAGTGCAAGATCACTAGAATCAAATCATAGATATCATAAAAATATTAGTCATTATAAAGAATCACTGTTATATAAAACATGTTGAATCATTTAATCTCCTTATTTACAAGCTGTCACTGTATGATTCTGGGTTGATCTAAACAACTTTATAATAATGTCCAAATTGAAAATTTTAAACTTTATTATGTCTTTTTTTCCAATGAACAAAGGCGTAAATGCTTCGTGTCTTTGACTTGCAATCAATGCACAGCGGTTACTGAGATCATCTTATTGATCCCTTCTAGGGTTTTTCAATCACGACCTCCTTAAAAAGTATAAAAATCGCAAAACAAAGTTTACAATTAGTTTATACATACATCTCGGTTTTAGATCGCTGTTTTTTTCGAAAACTATCTAAATATAAAATTGTCGATTGTTACATATCATCACAAAATGATTTTCGTACGATTATTTCGGATGAACAGGACGATGAAAAGACACTTTGCTCAATTTCAAACAGAACCTAAGTCCATATTTATATACTTATTAGTTAAATGCTCATATACTTACTTCATTAGTTCATTAAGGATATTATTTATCCATATTAATGACAGCTAATACTTTGTTTTTACATCACCATAACTTAAAATTTGACTTTTGTCATCAAATACACTAGAATAATGTAAATTTTGTCTGTTGTAAACGGATGAACGATTTCTCTTGATCATAAACACCACAACCTGCTTTCTTGCAGGTGTTTTGCCTTGGCTGTCAAAAAGCGTCTTGCAATATTGCTTTTCTGTACGGGATCCCTGTGTCCAAATTGGGTTCCAGGCTACTCCACGTGATTGTCGGTCAATACAAAGATGGCGGACAGCATGTGAAGTTCTGTCAATGAATGAAATTTTTATTTTACAGCGTTATTCCTAACATCTTCAGCTGCTTTGACTCAAAGGGTTACGCTGATTGCAATTGGTGGCTGTTTATTATGGTGATTTAAGGAAAAGTTAATTATATCTCTTTTCGTGCTTCCTTGGAGACTTCAAMATCGCTGAATTGCGCGTACATAGCAGTCTTAGTATAAAACTTAAAATGGATGCAGAGCAAATGAAGAACTATGAAGATGTTATCAAGAAGTGGGAACAGAAAAGCGCTGGAGGTTCGTTTGCTTCTTCTGGTCCTACGATGAGTAATGGCGCTGCTATGAACGAAGGAAGAGAAGCTTGGGTAAAGAGGTTTGGTGAAAGCCTTACTCCACCGAATCGTCGTCCTCYTGCGAGGTCTAAGCGGAGACCTAAACACAAACATAAGGTGACAATTGTAGTAATAATAGTAAAATTCTCTACCTAACATTGATAGCTCTGCTAATTTCGGTCGTAAACTTGTCTGATACCTTAAAGATAGTTAACCAAAAGTCTGAAGTATGAAAAACATCTGCAGTCTTTTGGCATTTGGATATCAACAATAAAATTAAMCAAAGCTATTGTGGTTCAAATGTTATTMAATGGATTTCCTGCTCTATTATCAGGACGACTTTGAGGCTATGCCAGCTGTGGAGAGAAAATTCCAAGTTCCTGGTACTGTAATACCAGCGATGTATTCCAGAGAAAGACCATTYATGGGAAGAGGATGTAGAACTTGCTGTCCAGACACTGAAGAGGTTCTCACATTGTATATTTATGTCATTTGATGTAGTCATAACCAATGACTGATGCCAGTTAACTTGTTTCTTTTCCTCTGATTGGCTATTTTTTACGTTTTTCTATTGTTGATTTGTACTTTGTTTTTTCAGCTCTTTTATAGTGAAGATGTACCAAGTAAAGGAATGCATAATATCCTAAACATTGCTATTTACACAAAGTAAGACAAACAATCTTAATGTACTTCCTTAATGACAAGTTCATARATTATTTTGACATAACTTTGTTCTAATCTATCTTTTCCAGAAAGAATCTATTCAAGAGGACATTTTGTCATGTAGACTTTATCTTGAGTCGTGACGTTAGCCATACATTCCATGATGTCAAACAATCTGTTCTCGACTCTGACAGGTTTGTCCATGAAAGAGCACAAACTACCCCTTGAGATTTTAGCACAGAGTTAGTTTAACCTAATGAGTTTTAGAGCAAACAAAAAAAAAAACAGCTAAATACAAACAAATAGTGGCTATTTCAGAGACGATTTGTCAGTATCAATGAACCAGAATATAATGAAGATCAATCCACATGAGACCATTTTTAATTCATCTTGATTGCATTCTGGTTAAATGATACTGACAATTCGTCTCTAAGTAGACTACTATTGGTTAGTACATGTATTTAGTTTTACTTTATTCAGCGGCGGATTTAGAGGTTTTTCTTGAAAAAAACTTAACAAGATCCTTGTCAATATTACTGAAAATGCTGGAAATTGCATTTTTGACGGTTTAAATTTCAAAATTTTTCAGGGGAGCATGCCCCCAGACGCCCTATGTATTCCCACCTTCGGCGGTCGACGCGACGCAAAACCATTTTTAAGTAACTGGCCTCCTCTTTCTTAATATTCTGGAATTCCACCCCTGTTATTTCATGGTTTTCCTCAATTTGCTCTATGACTGTTTTAATGTATTGTCTTTGCTTTAGGGTTAAGAACTGTATTCTGAATTCAGTTTATCAAGATGGCAGTAGTGGCTCAAGTCCTCAAAAAGGTAGAAAAAAAGGACTAGTTCTTTTATATATATTCAATATGTGTTTTTTACATTATAGACAATTTACATGTACAATTCACACTTACATCTTGATTTCAGAAGTGGAATTAGAACAACTTGATAAATCAAGACAGAAACAGTTATCAAAGTTAAATAGAAAAGCAAAAGGGATTATAACAAGAATGGCTGCAGGAATCTACAGAAATCTAATTAGGTACAGTTGCAAGAATTTCCTCAATAAACCACTGCAGCTTAATGATGTGTACTTTCTGTGTTTTCCAGGTTCACTGGGTGGTTTTTGTTCAAGTTATTTGGTAGATTATTGGACAGCATTCAGATTCATAATGGCCAGATACACATGGTACAGCAAGCGGCAGAGGTACACCTATAATATGCAGTAATATGACATTTATTGGGTGTTAATTTACRTGTGTATTTTTTCAGGAAAACAAGCCATTAGTTTTTCTTCCTCTTCATAAAAGTCATCTTGACTAYATTCTGGTTACTTATGTCCTATTAACCTGCAATGTTAAAGCTCCACACGTCGCAGCAGGAGGTACAACATTATCTGTCAGTCTGCACCCTTTAAGACTATTAATTTGTTCGATGTTTTGATATCTATTTATTTRTCGCAGACAACCTCAGTCATATGCTGTTATTCAGGTAAAATACTGATAACTAAGAACAGCATCATAATCCCATTTTCTAATATTCAGTTTTTGTTGCTCTTTTTTTTAGCTGGCTAATGAGACATCTTGGTGGATTCTTCATCAAACGAAAATTAGATCACACAACTGGAAAAGATGATTTATATAAATCTGTACTGCAAGAAGTAATAACAATGTGATTTTTCATGTACTCCATAATTGTCAATTAAAAAAATTCTTATTTTTTCCTTTGCTCTCCTTTAGTATGTTCAACGATTATTAGAGAATGGTCAGTACTTAGAGATCTTCATAGGTAAGGTTATAACCCTAGTCATATTCAGTATAAGCTGTAGTGTTCTTCAATTAATATTATTTTACTTAACAAGTACATGATTGTATGAATCTTTACAGAGGGAAGCAGGTCTCGTACTGGCAAAGCAATGGTACCAAAGTCTGGCTTGTTGTCAGTCATTGTCAATGCTGTTCTTGAAGGTACTGATGTTAACATTATTGTCACTTTAAAAACAAAAATAATTCTGAAATAATCATCTGAAAATTTTGTACTTCAGGTGTTGTCCCTGATGTAATGATTGTGCCTGTTAATATATCATATGAAAAGGTTKGATATTCAACTYGTCCTGACTTTGTAATTTGTCTGTTGGTCTCTTRGRTTTTCTCAATTTGATGATTTCTTTCACTTCAGGTGTTTGAGACAAGTTACTCTCATGAGCTACTAGTAAGTACGCCATTCAAGTCAATCYACTGCAYWAGTACCTTGTACTATATGAMCAAGAGAAAGGGACRATTCTTCGCACTTTCATGGGACTCATTTATTCTTTCTCTTTTCCATTTATTTAGTTATTCATTCATTTGCTCATCCATTTGGATCATTTGTTTATTGGTTTTTCATTCATTCAATATCCAATTTCCCATGTTTCATGTATTTYCTTKCCWTTTAGGGTGAGCCCAAAAGACCAGAAACATTCCTTGAAGCTGTCAAAGGCATCTGGGAAGTGTTTGGTGCTCGCTATGGCAACATCAGGATTGACTTCTCAAGACCATTYTCWCTKAAGGTACAAGAACATGACACTCAGAATGGACCACTTCCTCTGTGTTACAAACACAAATGGRAAAAAAACATTTTCCACTTGCATTTTTTATGCATTCACATCTCGTTTCTCATACCAGGAATTCTCACAGAGTCTGGACTGCTCACCTATCATGCAAGAGTTTGGCTCTAACATGGTTGCCAGGTCGTCTGTAACATCAACACCGGCTGCATCAATGCTCAGAAACTCCTCTGATTTATCACTGTCTGACTTTGGGGAAGAACAGTGCTTTTTGTTGACCAAAGTTTTAGGTTWTCATGTTGTCTATGGTAAGATTGTTGTGTAGCTTTTTTTCTGAGTATACCAGAGCATGCTATGTATAAAATTTGAGTGTGAAAGCCAACAGCTTTGAGTTTGATGTTTTGATTAAAAATCCTAATGCCATAATTGCAAGGAAAACTGGATTTTGTGATGATATTATTGTCTTTTTTGAACTTGAGGAGTTCTGAACCCATTGGTGACACAAGATTTTGCAATTGCCAGGGCTGCTATTATGGATTTCAGCATCCCAAATAATAAAAAACATAATAAACAAAGCAGGAACTGCAATATTTATCTGTCGAGAAAAAAGCAGAATTGGTTGATGTGATTCATTTGTACTAGTGAAAGGGTTCAGTAATCGATTGTACAACTGTACTTACATCTATCATRTGATAAATAATGAAGAATATCCCTTAGAATTCTTTGTTTTTGTTTGTTTCAGATGCAGTTCAGTGTAGTGCTGTGATGAGTACAAACATGTTGGCTTTTATTCTACTCTACATTCACAGAAATGTAATCTAAATCACCATAATTACAGTAACTCTATCGTTGATGTTTTTCTTTTTCTCAACTTTACTCTTGTACTAAAGTGTTGTTGTTTATGAATCTTTGCAGGGTGCAACATTGCAGCAATTGACCTATGCATTTGATGAACTACGTAAACAAATTGTCGGAAGAGGAAGGTATATTGCTCCCAGGATCAGAATACAGCACTTGCAATAGCCAAAAGCTGTTAGAGGATTTACTTTTAAATCATTTTCTATGTCATTGTAAATACAATAGGAATAGCTATTAAAAGTAACCATAATCAATATAACTAGATTGGTATATTATAATAAATAAATACGTTGATGTGTTTCAGAGATGTTGGATTTACTGGTCAGACATGTGATGTCCTTCATCATGCTCTCAGTATGCTGAGTGAACTCGTTGAAGTCCAGCAAGATGATGAACAGACTTTGATCAAGCCTTGTCTTGAGATACCACAAGTCATTGACCTTTTACAACACAGTAATTTGGTAAGTACAGTGACAAGCAGTTAAGTGTACACTGTAATATAAGGGTTGAATTAAAAGCRAAGAGAAAATATACTATTGATGATTGGTGACTTTTCTCTGTGTGCTGTGTTGTATCATTGTTTTGGTTACTTGGGCTATTCAGCTCACATAGTGCAATGTTTTGTTGACTACGAGAAGGAGAAACGACCTGACGAAGTTGACCAAAATGGCAACGAAACGTAGTCAGCAAAACATTGCCCTATTTGAGATGAATAGCCCAAGCATAGTTATTAACTRTGGTAACCAAAACAATAAGAAAATATACTGATTCAACTTGTTTTCTTTATTCTAGGTTCTTTGTATATTTGTATTGGAGTCTGTCTTAGGTAATCATCTGAATATTTTTAATGTAACAAAAAGGTCAATATCTAAGCCTAGTTCTATCTTGGAGACCATTTCTTATGTAGTGTTTAAAAAATGAGCAGGAGTGCTTTATCGGGAGATATAGCACGACTGCGAGTTTTTTATACTACTTCTAGAACTCCAACATCCAGAAATTGTTATCATTTTAGAAAAAAGCTAAAAAATGCGAAAACAGAGATTATGCATGTTAAACTTCTACTGAGCATGTGCATTTGTCACAAATGAAAGAATTTTGATCCCACACGTAAGAACGGCTAGTCTATGCTATAYTGCATATCTGCACATTGATTCAAACTGATTTAAAACCTAGCAAAGGTCTATGATGCGACATTAAAACTCAGACCTTTGCTAGTGTTGGGTTGCGATAAAGCGCTGATGACCTTCAACATCAGTTCTTTATATCTGATATAGAACTGATTAATAAAATATCAGTGCTTTATCGGGGTATAAAGGTCCATCATGTGACCCAATAGTTGAATTCTGATTGGACTAATAGCTCATGAATTATTAATGAGTTCTAGAAAAATGTGTTAATGATCTCTTTCAGCGTGCAGTATTTGTGCAGTGGCAAAGGAGAGAGATATTGATATTGTGGACGTTGAACAAGACCAGACTCTTCCACAAAGCACGGTATTACATCACTGTACAATCAAATCTCGTTATAAAGGACACTTTAGAAAGACGAGTTTATTTAATGCCCGCAAAGTGACAGTTGTCTGTAACTACACTATTATTACTGACAAACCTTGATTTCTTTTATTTTTTCAGATAATTGACAAAGCGAAGGATCTTTGTGAGCTCTTGCAGAAGGAGTTCCTATTTGCTCCRGTAAGTCTTTGACTTGATTACTTGATCTTTGAACAGCTGGAAAGCATAGTTTATGTCAACTTWATTAACTGTTCTTTCTKCRRTGAAAGGCGTTGGCGGTAGAATGGTAGCTGTAGTTTTKCTCTACATCTATATGCGTTATTGGATGCTTACATTAATATTTTGTTGTCAGCCATGTGTTGCTCTTGAGACAAGAYTGRTTGAAACACTGSAGACMTTTACAGCAAGTGAAATTATCAAATGCACAAATCAGGTAAAAAATGGTAATCATTCGATCCATCAATTTTTTATTCATTTAGTTTTCCATCAATCCATATTATTCATTTATTCGTTCGTTAATCCATTTATTCATTTGTTTATTCATCCATTTTATCCATCCATTTGTACCATTTCTAAAAACGTTTCCTAAATCGTTTTCTGTCCAATCTGGTATAATTATATACATCGATCCCTTCATACACGCATTCTTTCACACACACAACGAGCACTCATCTATCCATCCATCTTTCAACTTACTCATCCACATCTTTTCCTCCAATAATCCTTGTTTTTATTGATATATATTGCTCTTTTATGCAGACTACTTCATCCAACACCCGTGACTGGGCCCATAGATTCTCTGTAAGCACGTGGGATGATGAGGACGAAGGTGAAGATGGCGGCAATGAGATATATGGTGTCAATGATCCTGAATACAAGGTAGTATGACATACACCATTGTTAATCTATAAATAAAGCATCCTTTGGCGTCAATATCCTTTTAAACAAATTTCGCGAAGAGAATTTAGAGACGACTACACAAATGTATTAAATTGGATTCAGAATCGCGTACAGATTATCCAGTAGTTGACATTCAAGGCTTCTGTAGCTTCGCCATTTTAAAATACCCACAATACTATTTGGTCGTGTATTCTTCATCCAGATAACCCTTTTTGAAAAACCTGTGTTTCTTGTCTTTCTAAAGCTTTCTACTTCAAAAAGAGAACTATCAAGGCTCAAGTCTCTCCAGTCCCTACTCAGTCCTTTAATTGAATCTTATTGGGTAGCTGCNAGCGGCAGTAACCATGACATTCCTCCTACCGTTATCATGTCGAGCAAGTAGTCTAACGTATTGTTATAGTGTACAATAGTGTACACCGCCCCCGCCCCCACTGAAATCTTCCAGGGATATAGTTCAGAACTKGACCCTCTTTTTCTCAATTACTATGTTATTATATATGTMAAAGTTAAAAATCTAACGCGCGCTCAAGAAAATTGAGAAAGTGCGTCCTCTTATATCYTGACCGTTGAGTATATTCTGATTCAAATATAGATTTTAATTCCGCGCGCGCAARGATAAGAGGGTCAAGTTCTGGACTAGCAGGAATGCCGCACTTTATCTCTAAGACCTCTAAGAATTCATCTGTGAAAGTCAAATGAGTAAACAATGAAATTAAGTTTCGCTAAACGAGTAGAAACGTTTCAAAGTTTGTTTCAACTTCAGAAGCGGGTTAAAACGGCGTACCGTCTTTTGTACCACAAGAAGCACAAGCAGTCAAACGTAAAAAAACGTATAGTTATTGACCGATCGATCGCGTGAATCGTCATTGATTAAAAACCTTTTTCAATTAAGAAGAAAAGCAAAACCTTTCATTTTACTTTTTAATATATCAAAGGCTCCGACAATAGCTAAATTACTTTCTGACCTACTAAGTTTTAACAGTATAATTAACTAAAAGTAATRCCGTTACAAAGATTAGTCTTACATGACTGCAAAGTGACACAATGAGCGTGGACGCGTAACCTTGTTAGCTTGTTTTCTTTYATTTGCATATTRTATTGSCTCCCAGGCAGGTCTATCACTGGATAGTTCAACAAGTGCCCTCGCTTCACTTGATGAGCAATTTCAAACTATAAGTGCAGGCATAACGGACTCAACCTGTTCACAAGTGGTCTACTGGACGTTAAGATGTTGTGGTGGTAAGGTGGCACGCAAGAACCTGATCTTTTCATCAAGAGTCTTCGGTTATACAAATCATGGTTTGACGTAAGTTGCTACCAACAATTTTAACAAACATAGCTAATGCAGTAAGCAGAGCTCGTTTSCCTATGTTATAAAACACATTAAACACAAGATTTTACTAGATAAACGAATCGTAGCTTTATATGATCACGACTGATGGCTCAGTACCATCGTATCTTGTCATATCTGATAATCCTACCCGAAACGTTTACACATTTTCATATATCGACCTATTTTACGTGCTGCCGTGATTGACAACTTGTAATATACATTGTAACCATAAACATTTATACAAAATTTAAGTTCCGATATATTTTCGATTCTAGTAAAGCTTATGCTCATTTTAAAAGTCAATTTAGTTTTGGAATGAGATCTATTGTTGACGCTTATTTACAAAGAGAAAGCTTATTGTCTTAGACGCCGCAAAACGACAATAAATCTAAATCTATTCAGCATGCAACGATTGCATAGTACATATAAATTCGCTAAGTATCGGTTATACTCGGATATTGTATAACATTATAACATTTTGTTCTCAAAATATATACAATACAATTTTAAATTTAGAAAGGTTTAATCAACTACAGTCATACAATGACATCATGAGGCAATCTTTTTTTGCCGGATGACTTTAAAGTGAAACGTTCATATTTTTCTTTCCAAGACACGCTTATTAACAAATTCAGTTCCGTTTTGGTGATGCTTAAAATAGAAAGCGATGACGCGGTCAAGAAGAAAACATACCTTGCATTACACAGTAGAAAGAACTACATCATTGCACAGCGTGAACCTATTTTCAGTTTTAGACTCGAGGATTTTGTACATTAGAAGCCGTAACTCGCACGGAAAAGAAAGCTTTGACCTACTAAGGTATTGTAAACTCAGCTAAGCTTCGCTTAACTTTCAGATGCAAGTAAAACTTCCACACTATCAGTACAGTTTGAATGATTATGGCAAGTTTTGCTGCAAAGTATCTGGTATCCAATGCCACCTCTGGCGTGCGCAACACACTTGGAGACGCAGTGGGAAAGCAATTCAGCCAAGAAGAAAACATTACTAATGAAGACATTGAGAAAATCGAAAACAAATTACAAAAAGATGAAGAATTACGACAAAGAAAACAGGCAGGAATGGAAGTCAAGAGGTCGAAAGAGCGTGAGCGAATCCGTCAGAAATATGGAATCGAAAAGAGCAAACGACATGAACCTACAGAAACACATTCGGCATTGCTTCTTCGAAAAACTTCCGCAATAAGCGAAAAAGAACTACTATTACAGCAAGAAGATGAAGAAGATGATGACTGTTGTCCATGTTGTAGTCTTAGAACTTGTTTTCCTTGTTTTCTAAAATTAAAGAAAAAGACATAGCAATCGTTCAAAGGTCATACAACAGACTAACAATGGGATGCCTGTGTTAAGAAGCTTACATAGGAAACCCATTAAAGAAAACTATCATGTTTAGCCAGAAAATCATACTTGATCTCGTTCCCAGGGCTACTCTGCGCCGGCTACCTCTGTCCGCCATTTTGAAAAAAGCGAGCAGAGTAGCCCTGGGAACGAGGTTGACTTGATCCTTATGGTATCATCAGTTTTCAAAATAGCACAAAAATTATGGACTACTGGCTGAATTTCACTAAACTATAATAAATAACAGAATGTTAAATTTCATCTTTAATATTTATATTAATAATTTCTAATACTTTGTAATACTCTTTTAAGACCTCTGCCGCTGAGGGTCTCAATTTAGGATCAGGCAGTCGACACTGTTCATGAAGATGTAACAAGAGTCTTCTCACATCATTACTTTTACTAACCCTAGACAATAGTCTATCAACAACACTAGGAATTCTATAAATATCTATTTTCTCATCATAACTTGGCATTTCATCATCACTGAATTGTTTATCCTTGAAGGGCCATAATTGCTCTGGTGCTACAAACGTTCCAGTAATCTGTCTCCTTCCGCATTTAATGAGCTGTCCTTGTTGATGGATTACCTGTGGAAGGGCATCCACATCATTCAATACTAGGCGAAAGTCTTTTGATATCAAATACTGCGACAGCGTCTTATCAATATCATTAGTATCACACATGACGCGTGTTCCTAGAGGACTGTTGTGTAGAAAATCTAATATTGACACATAATCAARGCTTAGTTGAAATCTTGTCTGTATGCTGTTGTATTTCTTTAATTCTGGTTTGTTTAGCAACTGATCCAAGTCTTCAGCAG